GCGCTGGCGGCCTGAGCGAGCTCGCGCCGAGCCCGGACACTGCGCCTGCGCCGCGGCACAGACTCGTCTCTACCGGGTCCGCTCCCCTCCGACACCCCGGCAAGGCCGTCTCCTCACCCCTTTGAGCCGCTTGACCAGGGCACTCTTCTGCCCACTCTTGGCTAGGCCTCGCTGCTCCAGCGCGGCCTTCAGGTCGGTCACCCGCAGCGCCTGAAGAGGCTTCCCGTCCAGAGTCACCTCCTCCAGCTCCGCCATCTTGCGTGAGGTACTCGGGTCCGTCCCGACGGCTTCGGGCATCTTCGGTAATTTCCGCCAACGCCCTTCGAACGGACCGATCCGACCCCGCCCACCGCTGTAGTCAACCCCTCGATTACCACTCAGAACTCTCCGGGTTCCTCCGGAGCTGCTCGGGTGTTTCCGTCTCCACATCGGCACCAATCGGTTCTCTCCATCCTAGGTGCTCCCCCCCTCCCTCGCCCTGCTCTTAGAATTCGGTTATCTCCGTTTCACCGAGGCCTTGAATCGAACCTATTCGGAAGCCCTCGACTTTGGCATAACCACGATCGGAGTTACTCGGCTCTCTTCGGACCTAAAGCGGAGGCGCTGAGGCGCTTGGGTGTTTGGAGCTGGTCCGGGACCGGAAGTGCGTGGGCTGTCTGGCTGGCCTCGCTTAGGGTTTTCAGGAAACATGGAAGCGGTGGCGGTAGTTGGAGCCTAAGTACTCCGATGGTCTCTCGGTGCCCTGTGAGAGGAGAGGGGAGGTAAGCGGGGTAGAAGCCCCTCCCTGGGCTGGGTGAGACTCGGTGTTTGCGGGTCACCCTCGTAGGGCAAGTCTCCCGCTCTTCCACGGAAACAGTTGCCGCCTCCCATCCTATTCAATCCCCACCACTCCCATCGAAGAGTACGTTGTTCTTTCATACTTCGAAATGCCAGGCTTGGTGGCCTCCAAAGTGGGCAAGTGGCAACACCGTGTCTTCGGACTCAGATTGAACTAATTCATGATCACTGAACTTGAGTTTGCCATGGAAGCCATGAATCAAGACTTGGGAAAAGTTTCTCACTTTCCCCAAAAAGGCGATTCAGGTTCCTTTCTGAGGAATTGCTTCCTGTTAAGGCCACTGAAAAAAGACATCCTCTCCCAGGACTGTTTTGGTACTGAACTGATGCTATTGCTTGGGGGTTCCTTTCTTACTGCAAACAATCCAATTTGCAGTAGAAGAAACACAAACAGTAAAATAGTTCATATACAATAGTAGTTTAAAGTTTTCGTTGTTGGAGATTCAATTATGAAAGCTATTCAAGTTGGCTGATCTTCTAGTTGCATTAGTGATGCAAATCAATGTCAGGGCATCAACAGGTATTATATTAACTTTTTAAAATTTGATTTTAGAGAAAGGGAGAGAAAGACAGAGAGACAGAAACGTCAGATTGGTTGTTGCCCAAACTTGTGATCAGGAATCGAATCTGCCATGGGAGGATACTACAACCAACTGAGCCACCTCCCCAGGGCTCAATAGGTAGTATATTAAACATTAAGGAAAAATTTCAAAGACATGAATTGTTATCTATAGCAGTGTAGTAACATTGTTAGATCCCTAAGCCACCAAACCAACTAGACTTTTTTCAGTCTTATATAAACAGATTATTTTCTTGTTTTTCTTATTCTGTTATCTTATTTTGGGCCAGGCGCCCATCACTTATTTTGCTGTGTAGTTTTTTCTTGGTGCTTTACAGGGAGTATAAGTAATGGATGTTATGAAATTCTTGGCATATTTTAGAAGTAATAGAGGTGTTTAGAAGCAAAGGAGGTGTTTATATATACTGCTATTTTACTACATGCACACTAGTGCCCCTGTGCACGGATTTGTGCAATTAGAAGGTGCCTGGCAGGGCAGGATTGGCTGGACACACCCTGAAGCCAACCTCCCTCGGTCCCTCCTCAGATGGGGCAGCACATTGGTTTGAAGGGCATCTGTGGAGTGGGTGGGGTCCCTGTGGCAGGTGGAGTCCCTTGGCCCCAGGGCTCCTGGATTGCGAGAGGGCAGTTCTTGGGTGACACATCCAGAATAGGGCTCCTTCCTTTCTGGTTCCAGGGTGCATAACCCGAGAACTGCCTTTGTCAAGTGACCACAGCTTGGCAGCTCCTGAGTGGAGCATCTGCCCCCTGGTGGTCAGTGTGTGTCATACCTACTGGCTTAGCCTTTTAGATAGATAGAAGATAGATTAGATAGATAGATAGATAGATAAATATTATATAATGGTTTTATTTCCCCTTCACTGTTGATATTGCTGGAATAATTAATATCGAGGTCCTTCCTGACCAGCTGCATGTACTTGATTTAAAAAATGGGTTCCTTTTTTTTCACTTAGGGAAGATGTGATAGACCAACAATAATTGTGGGTTTTTTTTCCTTTACTCAACATGAAACATAGGAATAGGCAGGAGAAAATGAGCAAGAAATGTATTGGAGAAGCTGGAATTATTGAGGGTCAAGGAACAGCAGGGAAAGAGGAAGAGAAGAGAAAAAAAAGAGAGAGAGATGGAAGAGGTCAAATAAAACAGAAGACTGGCACAAAAGGTTACCATAGCCACAATCCCCAGAGCAAAGATGTATGTAACAAGAGTATTTGGCCATGCAAATTGGAAATTGATCTTAAAGAAGCACAAATATCTTTTTCCCTGAAAAATTCTCCTGTGGTGCCAAAGTAACAAGAGGATGAAATCATCATTCAAGGAGACTTTACAGATGACATAATTGATGTCATTTAGGGGAAATGGCCAAATGTTGATCATGATAGCATCAAACATCTTGGAGAAGTGAAGAAGTGGTTTTTAATTATCTAAACTGAGAGTTAATATGGCCAAAGGGAAAGAGGGTTTTTTTTTGAGAAAATACATATTTATCCTGCAGTGTAAACTACCCTCGCCGTTGGCACATTCACAGTTCTATACAAGGCTGCTTTTTCTTTCTTTTATTCCCCCCCCCCCCCATTGCTATAGTCTTAATAAACAGAGGAAATCATGCTTATGCATAAAATAGAATGTAGTCCAAAAATTTTGATCACTTGCCCAGCCACTGTGGCTCAGTGGTTGAGCATTGACCTATGAATCAGGAGGTCATGCTTTGATTCCTGGTCAGGGCATATGCCCAGTTTGTGAGTTCAATCTCCTTTTCTCTTTGAAATCAATAAAAATACATTAAAAAAAATTTTTTTTGGTCACTTGAAAAAGTGTTATTTTTAGATTAGAAAAATGATGGAGGAAAATAGTGGTTAGAGAAAGTAATAGGTTTGAAAAAGAGAGAAAGGTTGGCAAATATAAAATGAAGTTATTCTTGAATGATTTCTCTAAAGTAGCTGGATAACAACTGAAATAAAGGACCCTGTTTTCTGGTAAATTGAATTGGTAATTATCTTTTTAATAAATATATTTTACTGATTTCAGAGAGGAATAGAGAGGGGGAGAGAGAGAGAGAGAAACATCAATGGTAAGAGAGAATCACTGATTGGCTTCCTCCTGCACGCCCCATACTGGGGTTTGAGCCCGCAACCTGGGCCAGGTGGGCCAGGCAAAGTAATGTTCTTTTTAGATGCTGATTGAATGATAAAGTTCCTTATTGTTGGGAAGTTATATTTTAGTTGATTTATCTAAAGAGTATCTAACTGCTTTTATGTTTCAGGATGCCACTGGAATCATCTTCATCTTCGGTGCAGCTGTCCTTCCCTTCTCTCTTACCCTCAGTGCCAGACAATTCTGTTAACTCTTTCCTTCCCCCAATGTCTTACATCACTTCCCAGGAAATGAAGTGTATTCTTCACTGGTTTGCCAGTTGGTCAGGTCCCCAGCGTGAACGTTTTCTACAAGACCTGGTAACTAAAGCAGTGCCAGGAAAACTACAGCCATTGCTAGAAGGTCTGGAGCAGCTTAGTGTGTCTGGAGCCGACCGACCACCTTGTATCTTTGAGTGCCAGCTACGTCTCTGGGATCAGTGGTTTCGAGGTTGGGCTGAGGAGGAGCGCAATGAATTTGTCAGGCAGCTGGAGGTCAGTGAGCCAGACTTCGTGGCAAAGTTTTACCAAGCAGTGGCTGCTACAGCTGGTAAAGACTGATGGGCATTAAAATCAGAGAAGAGAACCATAGTTGATGGAGCTGAAACTACAACTCTACAGTGAGAACTTCAGATGTGCCACTTAAAGGTCGGGATGGTAACCTGATTCACTGACTGAGCTTGCTGACTAGAACAGGCCTGGTTATTGCAATGTTTACAGCACATCCGCTGGACTGCTAGTGTAAATGTTTTCCAGCTAAGCAGATCCAGAGTAGCAGTCTGCCTCTAGCTTCTTTCTTTCCAGGAGATGTCAAACCCTCAAGAATTTAATGGCTTTTGCAACTGTAACCAAACAGCACCTACAAATAATTCAAGCCTACTGCTGGCCCATGGGGGTATAAAGTAGAACCTTCCTATTCCAAAAGCCAGAGAGAAGTGCAATAAAAGGTCCCGTTTTTGTATTTAGCTGGATTCAGACGTCTGGTTTCACCTCCCTTAGCAGATTCAGGCACAATTATGTGACATCCTAACCACTAACTTTCCTGTGATGATTTAGAAAAAATTATGGAAAAATCAGAAGAGGGAAATAATTAGTTATTCCTTCCTCCACACTGTTGTGTGTTTGAATCCTAATAATAATGACTTTTTCCAAAAGCATATGTGATATCCTTGGAGCTGTTAGAAGATATTCTGTAAATTTGCTCTGTAACAATATGAAAAAAAAAAAGTGACATTCTTTAGAGGTTGAAATGTTTTTTGGTTTTTGTTTTGTATAAAAATAAAGAATGAATCTTTGGAATCATAAGTCTCTACCTTTTTTTTCATTGCAAACCCAGTATGAAAAGAGGCATTCTGAGAAAAGTAGAACTTAAGTGTAGATAGTAGATTAACTCCCATCCAGTTGTCTTTCAAGTAATGATCTGTCCTGCCCCCACCATGCTCTGGGTAATATCACACCTCCATTATTCCTCCAGCTGAGCCCCTTGTGCTTTGGAGCTCTGATGAATGGTAAGGGGCAGATGGTCCCACCTGAAGAGTAGCTCGTTTCTGATAGGCCACGGTTCCCAGTGCACCCACCAGGATAAGCAGCATTAGGCAGAGAACTGTTGACAGACCTAGATGGGCCATGGAGGAATTATGACCAGAGGTAACCAGGAACCTAGGAAGATAGAAGTAATATTTGACTTAGGAGGAGAAGGGCTTTACCTTTATTATCATACATAGAGCTCATAAAACCCTGCTTTAAACAAAATAAGAGTGACTATAGAACCTGAAAATAGGAATATGATGAATATCCGTCTTCAGCATCTTAAGATTGTTGGAAGGAAACTTAACTTGACAGTGAGGGAAGTGGCTTAAGGGGAAGGCTGGCTAAACTGGTGTTTAGGTAATTACTGATAGACATGGTTCCTGGATAGCACTTAAAAAGGGGAGGGGGTAGGATCCCTATGTCCTAGAGATGGGAGGGGCTTCATTTGTTTTAAATGCTCTATAATAATAGGCCTGAGATAATCATGCCAGGGATTCTTATTTCCTGAAATAACCCTGTCTAAACTCATGTATACACATGAGTAGGTGCTTAATAAATACAATTTCAAACATCTGGACTAGGAATTGGGGAAAAAAATCTACTTGCAACGTTGTCTTACTTGCTATATTCTGTGGTAAAGTTGGCTCCTCTATAATATACTTCTAGAGGCTTCTTCCGGAGAGTCAGGGTCAGGGCCCTGTGCAGCATACCAACCGAAGGCCCTTGGCAACCAGGGGGCTTCCACATATGCACAGTGAACACCAGATTAGTGGTAATTGAAGGGCTGTGGAAATAGCACCTAAATAGACATTTGGATCTATTAATGGAGCAATAGTCCCTGGAAGGCTATATCGCATGAAACGTGCAGGTTTAGGAGTGGGATGAACAGAAAATCTCCAGAAGACAGTTGCGAAGTAAAGGACTTAAGCATTCTCTATAGCCCATCATAGAAATCCTCAGCCTGAATTGCCCCTTTTTACCTTCCAGTGCCTCCTCTGCTCACCAGAGCCTGTAAGATTGCTTCAGCCAACTCTTCTTCCTTCTCTAGGGAATGGCCTGGGGGCCCAGCTAATCCGAAAGACAGCCTGAATAACAGGTCTTGGGATGAAAGACTCATAGGTGGGGAAGTAACAGCATCTCTATCTTCATTAGTCTGACACAGCCGACCCCGGGGGCAGAAGAGAAGACCATAGTACCCAGGTATCTACAGGGAAACATGTAGCAGGTTATAGTCAGTGACTTACTTGCACAAGTCCTCCTAAGAAAAATGTACAGTCTAGATCAGAATCTTGGGCTCAGTGGCTTCTTAGTCAAAAGTGAACAGAGAACAGTTTGGTTATAGCACTGAACAAACATTTCCAGATATCTTTTTGCCAGTGTGTTATAGCCTTTTCATCTATGACACCCACCTGAATAGCCCTTCCTGGAGGGCATGAAACCCAGGGGGATCCCTCCACCTGCACCTTGTAGGCTCCCCACTCTGTGCAGTGATGTAAGTAGCAGCGGCCAGTGAGCTCCTCTTCCTTCAGGTGTGGGATCTGAGAGGGATGGCTGACCTTGTCCCTAGGGAGCAGCTGTGATGTGAGGTTGGAAAGGAAGCAACGACTCTGGGAATGGTAGATCTCCCCGTGGGGATTCTCTGCCCCAGGTGGGAATCCGTTTTCCTTTTTCCAGCATTCACTCTGAAGAGCAGGGCGGAAGGTAGAATAGTGTTTGTCTCGATGTCTTTGAAGTTGACTCCTCTCTAGGCCCACTCAGTTTCACTCTGTTTTCTAATCTACTCACCCGGTTGGCCAAGGGCTTGTACATGCGGCAGCCTTCCAGCACAGGGTCTGAAGAGCAGCTTCCCTTGTCCAAGTGCAGGTAGTGGCAGCCCAGTCCACTGGGTGGGAGAGATGGGAGAGTGACACTTGGATCACCGACAGCTGCACAGCCCCTCCACCACTCAGCACACACACCTGCCGGTGCAGAAGAAGTCTGAGGAGCCAGTCCCACATGTGGTCACCAGGCCAAATTCCAGGCCAGATCCTGTTTGAGAGATAGGGAGAAAGAGCATTCAAAACAAATGAAGCCCCAAGCATCCCTCCAGTGCTTGCTATGCTTACAGCCTCCGTTACATGTAACATATCAGCAGCAGATATTCCTTCCAGCCTCTCTCGCTTCCCCCAAGCTGACTTCGGTCATGTGTGCCCTCTGCGATGCTCCCTGATTTCTCACCATGGCCCCACAACAACTCCTCTGCAGCACTGTGGTTGACTTGGTACCAGCCTGAATCTTTGAAAGCAGCAAGCGTGATTGGGTCTAGTCGAGTGCGCTGGGCACCATCGAAGATAGCGGTCATGATAGAGCCTTGGAGTAGTCGGGCCTCCCAGTGTGAAGACAAAGGGCCCTACTGGCGGAGGTAGCTGGTTGCTACCTGGCTACTCTCTCTTCCTTCCATCACCCCAAGGTGTTGTTATTCTTACCTCCTCTTCCAAGGGGGCACCCAGGGAAACCCTTAGCACTCCCAAGTGTTTGGCCAGGCTGTGGCTAACAGTTGGAGTGGTGAGAAGCAGTTGTCCCCACTCATCTCGCCTTGTCACCTGTTGCCTTGTAGAACAGTTCTCTCCAACTGAGTACAGAAAGGGGAGAAGGCACTATGAGGAAGGGTGAGGTAGAATTGGAAGGAAGAAGTTCATGAGATAGAGGTAGTTCTTTGTAGTTGACATTGTGGGAAAGCCTCTTCCTCATTCCTCTTGTTTACCGCTGGGTCCTGAGGGGCAATCCCGCCACTTCTTGAAGAGTTGTCCAGAGAAACCTAGGGCATGGAGCAATTCGTGTAGTGTGGCCTAAGAACAAATGACAGCAGCGTGAGAGACCAGGGTTTGCAAAAAGATTAGCCAGCCACTCTATAGCCCCTCTGCCCCATCACTTCTTAGAAATTGAGACACCTTCTATTCCATCCCCCTTCCCCCTCCCTTTTTTTTTTTTTTTTTCTGTAAGAGAACATTTGTTTGATAAATAAGAGTTAGAAGTAATTCCTAGAAAGAAATGGGTTTAGGAAACAAGTTATTGAAATAATGAAAGGATCCTTGGACTTGGGAATGAGAAAGCTAATGGTAACGTGCCTTGGGTGGGATGGTGGAGGAGGAAAGGAAGGGAAGGGAAGGGAAGGGAGAAGGGAAGGGAAGGGAAGGGAAGGGAAGGGAAGGGAAGGGAAGGGAAGGGAAAGGAAGGGAAAGGAAAGGAACGGAAAGAAACAAAAAGGAAGGGAAGGAAAAGGAAGGGAAGGGAAAACAAGGGAAAGGAATGGGTGGTGTGCTCTGGGGAGAGAGAGAGCCTATTCCATCCTTACTAGATTCTTCAACTTCATGGGAAGCTGAGTGACCTGCCCCACCTCACCCAGCCTGTCAGTATACAACAGTCACCATGACGATGTCACTATGGCTGAGGCTGGGGCTGGTGAGATGTTGCGCACAGTAGACAATGGTACCAGCAAGGGGCCTGTCTTCTGAGTCCAGTTGGCAGCAGGCAGCGTAGGCAATGACAGAGGGCTGTGGATGGATGAGTCAGGACAATGTATGGGCAGAAAGGAGAGAAGTGGGGTAACACAGAAGAAATCTTTCTTAAAAAAGGAGGTTCAGTGTTACCAAGGGATGGTATAAACTTTAGAGGGTTTTTAACCCTCACTCAAACTTCATCAGCATGTCCAAAGTTATGCCAAATAAGCACAATTTAATAAAAACTGCTTTTACTCGCCTTGCCCTGCATTTAAGATTAAGAGAGACAGAGTAGGGGAAAGGGATTTGATTTGAACCTCACCTCTTGGTGGCACTTGGAAGTGTAGGCAACCCGCACATACAGGAGAAAATCAGTATTTTGGACCCCAGGCCCATCTGGCTGGATCAGCTGCGGGGGACCCTGCTCTGGCCACAAAGCATAGCCACGGAGATGGGCATCAGGGATCTGGCAAGGAGTGAAATGGGACATCTGGATTAGCAGATGTGCCGGAAGGCATGGCAATAGAAAACTGGGTACCAGGAGTGAGGGGCAAAGAGTTTCTATATCTAGTGTGTCTTAGTGTCATCTAGGCAGCTGGTCAGAATAAGGAATTCTACCATCACCTACCCTACCCCAAATTTCTGATTTAATAAATTACCAAAGGGACACAGGGCTCAGGAACCTGTATTGCAAGGGATCACATTAAATAATTCGATGCTATTGGTCTTGGAGAGATCTAAGCAGGCTCTAGATCTGCAGATCTCCAAAGCTGAGCATTTAATCTCACCTTTACACCCAGGCAACTTTCTCCTTTGTACCGTGGGTTCAAGAGGCTGCATCTGCAAAGAATGAATAGCTGTAGGTAAGCTGGCGACACTTCTGGGTACCCCGAAGAGGTATTGTACACAATCACAATGACTTGCACTCACCTGTGGTAGTTTGGAGTATCTGGGTTTCCCCAGACAGCATGGCAGTACTGTGCAGGGTCTCGGCTCAAAAGCAGGGGTCCTTGCACTGGAGGCACTAAACAAGATGCAAGGTCCATTTCACCTCAGTATCTTGGAGTCCCAGTTCCTTTTCTGTGGTGGGCTTCTGCCTCAGTTCCCTCTGTTCCTCAGCCCTCTCTGACTCCTGTTCATCCACTCACCTGCGAGGACACCCTGGAGGCGCTGAGCAGCCTCTCTCACTGCCACCAGGGCTCGGGATTCCCCACTCATCCCATCTCCCTCAGGATCCCAAGCTCCACCGGACACAGGGTCTGTTATATGGCAGGTTTGGATTCGGAGGGGCTGAGGATCACGAGGGCCAGGGAAGGTGATGGGGGAAGAGCGGAAGTCCGAGGGAGGTTGGGAGAAAGGTGGCCTGAGAAGGCTCACAGACTTCTGTGTCTCGTCATGGAGACATCTGCGCGCGGCAGCTCCCAGCAGCAGCAGCAGCAGCAGCATCTTCCTCTGGTGTCTTCCACGGTCTGCCCGAGGCTCTCTTCTGGCCCCTTCTCCCCGCCTCACTTGCTTCTGGCTTTCCTTTCTTTACCATCTCTCTGCATATCTCCTCCCACCACTTTTGCTTATTTTTTCAAGATGTGAATGCTGTTGACTAAATCTACAATTCCTGCCAGGAGGTCGGATGTGAACCACAAGAGCCAAAGTTGTCTCTCCCCAGAGGTGCCAGAGGTGGAGAGCACGGTGAGGGGCAGTGTTATTCCCAAGGCCTGGCCCACCTACAAAGGAACTTACCTAACCAGCTTCCTTCTCTCATCCTAACTCCCCTGCCCTTCTTCTTTTTTAAAAAATATATTTTTTATTGATTGATTCCAGAGAGGAAGGGAGAGGGAGAGAGAGATTGAAACATCAATAATGAGAAAGAATCATTGATTGGCTGTCTCCTGCATGCCCCCTACTGGGGATCAAGCCCACAATCCAGGCATGTGCCCTTGATCAGAATTGAACCTGGGACCCTTCAGTCCCCAGGCCAACACTCTATCCACTGAGCCAAACCTGCCAGGGCTCCCCTGACATTCTGAGTGGACAACCTCAGAACCTTCCCAGAACTAAAATGTAGATTTTAACATAATGGTGTGTGTGTGTGTGTGTGTAGTGGGACATTCTTTGCTTCATAGGTATCTGCCTAGTTCATGGAGATGTGCAAACAAAGCACCTGCACTTCACTAGCCCCATATCAGAGCCGGGTGGACTCCAAACTGCCAGAGGTTAATGCATCTGCTCCATGTGTGTAGGAGACTTAGTAGGTGCTTAACAAATACATGTTGGGTCCTGGCTGGTTTGACTAAATGGTTAGAGCATTGGCTTGGGCACCTAAAGGTCACAGATTGGATTGCTGGTCAAGGGCACTTACCTTGGTTGCAATTTGATCCCAGGCCCAGGTGGAGGTGCATGTGGGAGGCAGCCAATTGATGTGTGTCTCTCTCCACACTGATATCTCTCTTTCTCTTCCTCCCTCCTGCCTCCCTTGCACTATCTCTAAAAATCAATGGAAAAATATCCTCGGGAGAGGATTAAAAACAACAAAAAATATGCCCCAGCTGGTTTGGCTCAGTGAATAGAGCGTTGGCCTGCGGACTGAAGGGTCCCGGGTTTGATTCCAGTCAAGTCTGCACAGTTGCAGGCTTGATCCCCAGTAGGGGGTGTATAGGAGGCAGCTGATCAATGATGCTCTCTCATCATTCATGCTTCTATCTCTCTCTCCCTCTCTTAAATAAATAAAATATGTTTAAAAACAGATACATGTTGGTTGACTAACAGCTCCAAGGAGAGGCTGTTGGATTCACAGAAGCCAGTTATAGACATGTGGGGAGGGAAAGGAGACTCTTAAAATGGACAGTGATGGAAAACATTCAAAGATGTCCTCACCAAACTCTTGGAACTCCCTTTGTTTTCTTTGCTCATTCTGTGCTTTCACATCCTGTTGACTCTGCCTGGATACCCCTCCTTCCCTGCCTGCCTAGCTAATTCCTCCTGCCTTCCCTGTAATTACTCTGGAAAGCCTTTCTTAACACCTCCAGCCAAAATTCCACACCTGCCAGGGGGGGAGGCAGCCTCTCCTTCCTGCTCCCAACAGAACACTTGTCATCTTTTATAATTGTGGCTTAATGGCTCTCCCTCCACATCCTGCATGCTTTCAAGGTGGGTCTGCTTCCTGGCTGGCTTTGTGTCCACCGCACTCGCATAGCTCAGAGGGCTTAGTCTTCAGATTGTGGACAAGGAACAGCACCTAACCCTATTATTTAACTTTTGAAGAGGCAGGTCCAGGGTACAGTGACGTAAGGCAACATAGCTAATTCATGATAGAGAAGGGAGACTGACTTCTATACTCTTACATTCCAGAGCTGTGGCTGGCACTATCCATGACAAGGGAGGGATCCAAACTCTGGAGCCAAACCAACTCTGGCCCACTCTATCTGTGTAACTTTGTTCAAATGCCTCAGTTTTTCCACTTCAGAAATGGAGATGATTGTATTTGCTTGATAGTATGCATATTCTATAGACATTTTAACTCAGTGGAGAAATATTCCATTCTTATCGACTCATGTAAAAATCTTTAGAGGACTCTTATTTTTTTGTCTGTTTTTTAAAAATTGATCATTGTTTTTTTTCTCTAAGACAAACCTAGTCTTTTTCTCCAAGTGTTGGGAGAAGCCTTTTTTCTCTCCTGACTGGGACAGGGCAACTGCAAACAAAACCTCGGGGTGATGGACTCAAGGTTGTGTGGCTCTCTTCTGGTTTTCTGGCTCCCACCTGGAGCCCCTCCTATGCTTTGCTGCCCCCTTGTGGTCATACTGAGGAGGGTGCCCACCGCCAGTGTAGGGATTCACCCTAACTTCACACACACTCACAGAACCTCAATCCTTCTCACAGAGGAAGCTCAAGAAACACTTCGAGTGTCTTCTGCTGGAATACCTCTCTGCTGAACGTGCCTGGAAAACCTCCTCCTCATCTTTAAAGATCCAGCAGAGGGGTTAGCTGCCTGTTGAGACTTTATTCCCCAAGCTGAGTTAGTTTGCATAGCCTCTGGTCACTAAGCATTTCTTTCACATCTTTGAAGTAGCTCTAATTATACTTTCCTGGCATTTATTTTTGTGCTTGTTTCCTTACTAGACTCTGGGGGGTGGTTTGTTGAATCTCATTCTCCCTGCCTCTTTGAAGAGGTATGAAGTAGGTGTAGAAAGGTAGTGGAGGTGAGAGATGAAAGTGAGGCCAGAGCGAGGAGGTAAGGAGAGAGTGTGAGGATAATAATTTTATTGAGCACTTCCTTTGTGCCCATTGTTCCAAGCACTTTAGATTCATGTAAACCTTTCAGCAACCATACATTGTAGGTATTATTATAGTTCCAATTTTACAACTGAGGCACAGTGAAATTAGTCAGCATAGGTAGGTGGTAAAATGTGGGATTTGAACCCTCATAGGTAGTCTCCTGAGCACAAGCTTTAACCCATCATGCAGTAGTACTTCTCAAGGGCACAGCACGGAGGAGAAATAAAGATGTGATGAGCCCTGACCCGTTTGGCTCAGTGGATAGAGCGTTGGCCTGCAGACTGAAGTGTCCTTGGTTTGATTCCGGTAAAGGGCATGTATCTTGGTTGGGGGTACATCCCCAGTGGGATCCAGGCAGGAAGCAGCTGATCACGGTTTCTCTCTCATAGATTTTTTTTTTTAAAGACACTTTTATTCAGCGTCATGATCAGACTATTACATTTAGCAATCAACAGCATGGATGCAAAAAAAAAAAAAAAATCTACATTAAAACCCTTGGTTGGAATGCTTTACACTTTCCACAGAACAGAAACTAAAATAACCTGTTATACAATTAGTCACAAGTACAGTCCTCGAGTTTTTTTGCCCATTCACATGAGTATTGTCTAACACATGTCTTCTTTGTAGCAGCTAGGCCCTGCCACCACTGTGCTTGGCTGAGTTCACAAGTCTGTTGTAACCTGTAGCTTCTCTGTCACTTCTCTGGCTCTCCTCTCCTGCTAAGTTTTGTTTCCTGGCAGTAATTAAAACCGTCTGCCACTGCTGTAGCTACTGCTGCTGCTGGAACCACCATAGCCACCTTGGTTTCATGGTTTGGCAAAGTATTGCCCTCCACCACCATAAGGGCCAGAGCTTCTGCCTCCAAAGTTTCCTCTTTTCATGGGTCCAAAATTTGAAGATTGATTGTTGTAATTGCCAAAATCATTGTAGCTTCCACCACCTCCAAAATTGCTTCCATCATTACCAAATCCATTATAGCCATCCCCACTGCCACCATATCCACCGCCACCACAGCTGCCACCAAAGCCACCTCGACCACTGAAGTTTCCTCCACGACCAAAGTTGTCATTTCCACCAAAACCACCTCCACGACCACCTCCGAAGTTTCCAGAACCACTTCGACCTCTTTGGCTGGACGAAGCACTAGCCATCTCTTGCTTAGATAGGGCTTTCCTTACTTCACAGTTGTGGCCATTCACAGTATGGTATTTCTGAATGACAATCTTGTCCACAGAGTCATGGTAATCAAAGGTTACAAAAGCAAAGCCCCTCTTTTTGCCACTGCCTCGGTCAGTCATGATTTCAATCACTTCTATTTTCCCATATTGTTCAAAATAATATCTTAAATGATGTTCTTCAGTGTCTTCTTTAATACTACCGACAAAAAGCTTTTTCACAATTAAGTGGGCACCAGGTCTTTGAGAATCTTCTCTTGAGACAGCCCTCTTTGGTTCCACAACTCTCTCGTCCACCTTGTGTGGCCTTGCATTCATGGTGCATCCACCTCCTCCACAGTGGCATAGGTGACAAATCCAAAGCCTCTGGAATGCTTGGTGTTTGGATCTCTCATCACCACACAGTCGTGAGCGTTCCCCATTGCTCAAAATGGCTCCTCAGACTGTCATCGGTTGTTTCAAAGCTCAAACCTCTGATAAAGAGCTTCCTCAGCTGCTCCGGCTCTTTGGGAGACTCAGACTTAGACATGATGCCTGCAACAGGGGGGATTCCAACGATGCTCACTCCGCGGCGTTCACCAGCAGAAAAGAGATGTTTTTAACTCTCTATGCTTTTCCTTTCCTGTCTGTTAAAAAAAAATCAATAATAATAATAATTATTATTAAAAAAGCTGTGATGAGAGGAACAGGATGAGAAAGATGAGGCTGAAGGGAAAAGGTAGAGATGAGGAGAGATTTTGGGCAAGGAGAAGGTGAAGGCTGTGATGAGAGAGGGTGGAGTTAGGAGAACGGAAGTTAGAGTGATGGGGATGAAGGTGAGAAAGGGCGTGGAGCTAGGATGTTAGATAGGTATAAGGAGAAGGGATGTTGATGAGGCAGGGGCAGAGGTGAAAGAGCTGATGTGGGAGGTGGAGAGAGGACGGGGCTGAGCAGAGCAGTTGTCCTACGTGATGTATCAAAATAGGGCTGGTCATCTAGGATGCTGACCTCTCAGTCCTT